TCGGTAGGCAGGATAACCTGTACACTTACCGTGAGAACACTTGATCAGACTCCTGCTCACTTGACGATGTACTGCTCTCGAAAAGACACTCCTTTCGTACTACCCTACTCCACTGACACCACTGACAGCCTCAAACCGCCTGCATACACACGTACACACATGTACATACAGTTACATACACATACGTCCATATTCCCCCTATATACCGCCACACGCACACTTACTGCGATGACACTTGGTCAGCCAGGTCTTCTCTTGACGAGGCGCTGCTCTCGGAGAAGCCACTCCGCTCGTGGTGTCCCAGTACACTGACACTGCGTCCGGCCTTCGGTACAATGGGGCTCTCACCCATAGCACTACTATCATCACTCTCCCCACCTCTCTTGACCGAAATATTGAGCGACATCGTACGTGACGGGCACTCCGGGGAGTCCAGCCCGTTCAGATGCGTGTTTGCGCATGGGGTGGTGTGTGCTTGTGCACTTGGGGTGGCCGGTATATCCGTCTGACTGTCTATACCATTCTCTGCCGGTGCCTGGCTCTCCCCCTCAACCACCACGTCTTTGTACGTGATGGTCCCGGTCTCTGTTGTTCCCTCGGGCGATTGTACCCGCACATGTACGCCAGTCACACTCTCGCTGTAGTCGCTCACCCCAATCAACAACTCACCACTCCTCAGCAGGTCTCGCTGATCCTTGTCTGTGCCATCACCGTGTGAGGGGGTGTTATCCTCACTGTGTGTCTGTGCCCGTTCATGGCTGGCCTGGGTCCGTTCCCCCGAGTAGTCAGTCAACGGTATACTAGGCTGCCCGTCTACCAGGGTGCGCAGTGATTGGCTGATTTGAATCAACTGTAAGGTACGCTCTAGCTCCGTCTCCGTTTGTTCAGGGCTATCGTCCGCCCCATCCAAAGCTCTATCGGCCTTACCTAGAGCCGCCTCTCCACTGTCATGCCCAGGCAGGGGGTTGTGACTCGCCTTTGGACTGGTACTAACACCGCCGGTGGTATCGTAGACGCCGGTGAATGTGTCTGTGCTTGCATACCGACTGGAGTTCTGTGAGACGCTTTGTGTAGTTCGTGTAGGGGAGGGTGAGTGGACTTGACGGAACGCTCGAGGAGATAAGCTGTCGACGGATAGCCGGTTGGGAATGGGCGAGGATGAGAGTTCACTGCAGTTACAACACATCACACAATATACAGAAAGAATACCCACAAGTCCATATACAAATTTAACGTATATATTTATATATATATGTATATATATATAAATA